TCTCCTTCCTTCCTCCCTTTTCCCCTCCTTTCCTTTTCTTTTTCTCCTCCCTACGTCTCTCCTTTTCTCCTTCCTTCCTTCCACCCTCCCTTCCTCCCTCCATTTTCCCCCCCTTTCCTTCTTTTCATCCTTTCTCCCTCCCTACGTCTCTTCTTTTCTTCTTCCTTCCACCCTCCCTTCCTCCCTCCCTTTTCCCCTCCTTTCCTTCTTTCCTTCCCTCCCTCCCTCCCTCCCTCTCCTTTTCTCCTTCCTTCCTCCCTTTCCCCCTCCTTTCCTTTTCTTTTTCTCCTCCTTACATCTCTCCTTTTCTCCTTCCTTCCTTCCACCCTCCTTTCCTCCCTCCATTTTCCCCTCCTTTCCTTCTTTTCATCCTTTCCTCCCTCCCTACGTCTCTCCTTTTCTCCTTCCTCCCTCCCTCCCTTCTTTCCCCTCCCTTTTTTCATTCTTTCCTTCCTTCTTTCCCTCCACCTCTCCTTTTCTCCTCTCTCCCTCCCTCCCTCCCTTCTTCTTGAATCATGGGACTGCAAGGGACCTCGGAGGTCTTCTAGTCCAACCCCCCCGCTTAAGCAGGAGGATGCGCTACCATTCCAGACAAACAGCCGTCCAATCCCTTCTTCATAACCTCCAGTGCTGGAGCCATCCTCAACTTCTGGTGGCAAGTCATTCCACCAGTTCATTGCTCTCACTCCCTTCTAGCTCTGATGATGTTATCTAGTTGGGTCGTGAGAGGTCTGCCAGAAAACCACCCTCACAGCTTGTCAGAAGTTTGGGGGAAGGAGATCACATGATCCCCGGGCAAACTGCAACCATCATAAATATGCACCAGTTAGCAAGTCTTTGCATTCCGACCAAGTGAGCCCAGGGAGGCTGCAACGTTCGTTAAAGGTGAGAAAACGGTTCTAAGTCTCTTTTTCCAGTGTCACTGTGAGTTCGAATGGTCGCTCAATGAACCGTTGCAATTGGAGGATTACCTATAGTAGATTTTTCTGCGGGGAGGGAAAACCTGGTTTTATATTAGCGGCAGCTGCAGAGGCAACCACAGTCAGGATTCAGAATTGGGACCTTATATTCTCTCTCTCTCTCTCTGCGGGGGTGTTTGGAGTTGGAGAGCAATGCTATTTTTGTTCCCATTTTTGGCATCGCTTTGAGGGATGGCTCAGCTGGGGAAGAGTTGTTGCTCTGGGAGATGGCTGGCCTCACAACCGCCAACAATTAGTAAGCCTTAGCAAGGCCACACCTAGAGTCCTGCATCCAGTTTTGGTCACCACAGCATTAAAAAAGACCTGGAGGCTCTGGAAGGAGTGCAGAGAAGAGCAACCAGGAGAATGAGGGGACTGGAGGCTGAAACCTACAACGAACGGTTGCAGGAACTGGGCCTGGCTAGTCTAGGGAAGAGAAGGACCAGGGGAGACAGGA